CTTTTATCATAAAAGGGTCAATTTCTGATTTCTCTGATAAAGTAAGTTGATAGCTACTCTTTATTCTTGATATGTTGCATGGTTTTCACAAGTTTTTGGGGGTTTGATTTTTTTTTTTTTTTTTTAGTTTATAGGTGGTAACTTTTTCAAGCAATTGTGATAAAGTATGGATAATATATTTGACTACAGTATATTCATACAATCATAGAATAGTTAGGGTTGGAAAGGACCTTAAGATCATCCAGTTCCAGCCCCCCTGCCATGGGCAGGGACACCTCACACTAAACCATGTCACCTGAGGCTCTGTCCAACCTGGCCTTGAACACTGCCAGGGATGGAGCATTCACAACCTCCCTGGGCAACCCATTCCAGTGCCTCACCACCCTTACAGTAAAGAACTTCTTCCTTATATCCAATCTAAACTTCCCCTGTTTAAGTTTTAACCCATTACCCCTTGTCCTATCACAACAGTCCCTAATGAAGAGTACATTTCCAATGTCCTTCATGCATTATTCCTGGTTTGACTGAAATACCAAGGTTATTAAGTTCCACTTTCCCTTATGAAGGAATACATGACTGTTATACAAATATTTAGCCCCATAGCAACAGTTTAGGCCTGTGTTTGAAAACAAAATCAAGTACAGTAAAATACATAACCAGATTCTCTGTTTCTTCTGTAATGTGGCTCACACTGACCACAGTGGGAGCTGCTTCTAATTTCAGGCTGTATAAAGGAAGGATCATTAGAGAGCTTATACAACACATTCATATGCAGAGCCTGTTACATTCAACCCAGTTGGAAACATGTTAAAGTAGACCTTACCTCAGTGCTCTACTTGCAGGCTCTTCAAATCCTACATGTCTGCACTGGTTGCTTGCAAGAGCTTGTAATTCATTGTCAAAATCTTCCTTCCAGGCTGCTCTTGCAAAAGCAGTGCAATAACACCTTGCCTTCCTCTAACTTTGCGGCAGGACTTGCAAGTGAAGTCTTGTCTGCCTAGCTGGAAGAAAACGTGAGGCTTTCTTTGGTAGGCCGTGAGGTGTGCCTTTATTTTCTCTTTCTCCTTTCTTTTTCCCTTTGCTTTTTTAAACTCAATATTGTTCCTGAGTGTTAGTACCCTCAGAAGAAGCAGTAGTGTGGACGCTTGCTACTTTAACTTGAAAATGTGCCCGCTGAGGTGAGCCTAAGCAAGCTTGACCTTGCTTAGTCTACCTTTGAATAAATGAGAAGCACCCCAGGGTGTGCCTGCACCACTGGGTACCTCTTACTGCTGGGTATCCTATGGAAAAACACCCTGTGCTGCTGTCAGGGCAAGGCCCCAGGTAGCTTCTTTTCAGCCAGTGGCCTCTGATTTCGCAATGAGTTAAGGTGTTTTTATGGTTTCGAAGCCTGCATATGAAATATTTATGTTTCAAGACTGAAATCTGTTAGTTTTCATCACCTTTTGATTTCTTTTCTGGATTTTCAGAGCATAATTGTTGCTTTAGTAAAACTTTTTTTGCAATGAGATGTTTTCCTTCTGGAAGTGAAATACTAGGCAATTATTTCTTAGTGATGGAAACTGAAATGAAATCTTGTGATGAGCTACAGGAGAAGTACCATACCAGTGTTTTAAAAATGAATTAAAAAGAGAAGAAATAGTTCATAAGATGGTGTCTTTGGGTGTAGGTGGATTTGGGGAGGTTCTGAGCTAGTTGTAATTTTGAAGACATAAGTGAAAAGCACAAACAACTTCACTCTAGTTTAGTCTGGTTTCCAGATAACGTGTGCTGGTACCTTCGGGATAGTGGAAAGATGCACAGATTATATAAATTTCACTAATTATTTTGAAATAATTACTACCAAAACTGCTTTGTAATTGTGCAGGTAGAACCCAGCACTACCTCTTACTCTATTTTGTGTAGGCTTTTAAATATTGATGATGACTCTACTTAAATGGATTAATTATATACTGCAGCACTTTGATTCCCTTTAATGTTACATTTGCAAACCACACAAATGGCCTGAATTACGAGATGAAGAATTGGCTGTAGTAGACCTGACTATTTTTTTTCCTCCTTATTCTGCCCTGAAATAAGTTCCTATTGCTTTACAGCTCTGCTAGATTCTAAAATACCTTGATGAGCTAGAAGGCAGCTTTAAGTGATTGAGCAAACCACAGGTTGACACGCAAAATGGATGAAATCTTAATTCATAGCTTTTCCCTTTAGCATCTGGTAGCGCGTGTGGCAATTCATCAGCCTGTGTTTTAGAATGAAATTATGCCTGCTTTGTGCCTTTCTTTCTCATGTTTGCCAGAAAATAATGAGAGGAATGTGAGAAATGAGCATTCCTTCTGCAGTGGGGTTGGTGCACAACGTGCTGATGGACAGTTCTGTGCTTGCCAGCCAGTTTTAGTCTTTTCTAGCTCCTTCCCTTCAACCTGCAGCTTCTGTATCAACAAGTCTGTCGTCTTCGCCCTCCCAAAGATGAGGTCAGCCTCATTAAACAGGTTCTTCTAACTGTCCTTCACAGGGTGCTGGCAGGAAACCTTTGCCTTTTGCATCACTTTCTTCCCTATGAATTGGACTAGGTGTTCTGGTTTGCTCAAACTGCTGGTGGAGGGGTACGGAGGGTATGAATTCCATTGGTATGAATGTGTGAACTCCTGGTTTTGTAGGAGTTCACCTGAAATGCTTTGCAGAGTTGTGTCTGGGAATGGAGGGTTCCATTCTTAAAAAGAAGCACATTTGTTTTTTGGGGGTATTCCTTTAAGTTACACATCTTGCTGTGGCTGTCTGACTTCTCCATCAAGAAACAGGCTACTGTAAAGTTTAGGCTCCTTTTAAAGTTGAAGCCTAATTTTCAGTCCATATGGAAGTTTAAGCAGCAGAATTTGGGAAGTGCTCTTGGCCAAACACCTTCTCTCACATGTTAGCTTCAGTTGATGTTAATTTTCTCACTTTGCATTAGAGCAATTACTGTATTCCACTGTAAGTGAAAAACCTGTCATTTTCCTCCTTCTACTACGAAGGTGTGCCTCTGATGTACTCCCAGTTTGAATGATAGACTGATAGCTGCGTGCTTACTTCCATAGAGCATTAACAATATGCTGCTGACCGCTGCCATGCCTATGTTGGGTTTTGTGGGTTTGGTGGGGATTTTTAACTCTTTATATCAGATTTCAGAGATGCTTTGCATCTGACTGATGAAGCTTAATGGGTGCCATATATAACTTTCAGAAATAGCTTTCTTGCATAAATGCATGTTATATATTGAGTTGGTAATGTATTAGAAGAAGAAAAATAGCGGGAAAGTTTGGACAGTTATTGAATTCAGAGTGTTGTGAAGGCAATTTCCTTGACAGGATCAACTCTCAGTACTTACTATTGTGCAGATTTTTTTTTCCCCTTAATATGCCTATGAAATACCCTTTGCAAGCTTGAAATTGGAGATAATGACACTTGGATCTGCAAAGATGGCAAAACAGCGTTTTAACAGTTTGTTCTCTATACAGAATTTGTGAGGGTGGATTAGCACAGGTTGTATGAGCACAAAACCATTTTATTAGTTGCAAACATAAAACCTGCGCTTTTAATTGCACAAAGCCCTTCCATTAGGTTTGATTTATCCTTAAAGTAGGACAAACTTGCAGTATGTGGGAAGAAAGTAAGGCATGGAATATGTAGTCCCTCTCTTTTGTCCCCCACGTCATCTGTTTTGCTAATACAGGTGTTGGAAACTTCATAAGCTGAATCGTTTGGCCTCATTAGGTCATGCTGCTGGGCATGCTGGGTTTTTAGAAAGAGAGCTTGCAGTCTTTACTAATGATAATACAAGACTGGTAGATGTTCCCATCTATTTGCAGAGGTTTTTTATGGGTAGAATCGGAGGAGATTTCTTAATACATAGAAGCTCAAGTCTTTGAGTGTGTATTGGGAATATGATGTGCTCTTAATCACCCATTAAAAGCAACCACAGCCCAAAACTATTGAGCAAACTCAAAAGCATCTTTAGGAGCTCTCAGGATCAGCCTGGATCCAGGCCAGGTCTTTGGCCAGTGTAGGAATGGGCAGTAGCTCTTTCCAGGTATAGAGTGAAGCAACTTGTTTGTAGAAATCTTGTGCACTGTAGAAAACAGTTAGGCAAGTTACTGCTGCCTGTATGATGGAGCTGTTTCTGTTGTATGGTTGCATGCAGGTTATTGTCACACCCTCCAGAGTGAGTAAGGATCTGAAGGCTGTATTTACAAATGCCACATAGGTGTCTGAAGATGCTAATAGTGGTGCTTACTGATAACGCCTGTACGTTTTAAGTCAGTCTTATTTTGTAGGCTGGGTGGTTTTCTAATTTCCAGTAGTCCCTGCTTTGCATAATTAGGCATTTACATAACTTTGCAAATCTGTGGCCCAGTCTGTTCTCCAGTGTTATTTTACCTCTCCTGATTGCCGTGGCTTTGTGTGCAAGGAAGTATTTTGAGCCAAGTTAATTATACTGGCGACTGTACTATAGCATATTGTGTATGGCTGTATCTTATTTACTCTATATACTTCAGAATTACTTCATGATCTTGAAGCTTAAAGCTTTTTACTTTAAGGCACCAAAGCACATCCCGTGTTAAAAATGGTTGAACGTGCAAGGTGCAGTTGTTAGCTCTCTCTTCTTTGTTCTCTCTGCTTTCTTGGGAGAAGATCAAACAAAGCACACTGACAGGTAAGGATGTCTCACAAAACACCTGGAAGAAATGTAGCTTCCCGTTCCATAAATTACTGGTACTCTGCTCACCAGCTGCCTGTTACGATGTTTTATCGATGAATAAAAATGGTGTCTGAGGCAGTAGAATGTCTTGCGTCTTAAAACACTGCCGGTTATAAAGATGTCTCCTTGAATAAATTTCACAATTAGAAAGTATTGACAAAAATATTCAATCTTTTTTACATCAAAATAAGCTCCAACATCTGCTGCCAAAGTCAGACAGTATCAAGTAATCTTTTTAAAGTATATTTTTATTATCCTGACAGATGCATGGCTGTATGACATAGATGTCAATTTAAGTTACTAGTGCCATTAATACTTGACAAAGACATACTCCCAGAAGAATTTACGTTTCTAAAATGTTGTCAGATGAGTATATGCTAACAAAAAGTAAGCAGTTATTCAGCTCTGTTGTGAACAAAGCTAAAAGCATGTTATCCCCAGAGAATCGCAGAAAACTGGTGTTCACATCTTTTCTGTTTTCTAAATTCCACAAAACTGACAGCAGAAAAACTAATTCTGTGTCTGCAAGTGTCTGTTTAAGCAAGCCATGCATACCTCCCTTTTCATTTTCTCTGACTGTTGGCTTGCAGCACAGAAAGATTTTCAGTTTCGTTTGAGGTGAACTTCTTCAGCGTTCATTTTCTTTCCACGAAATTTCAAATACTCCTGCTTCTTGGCAAGGATGCTGCTGTAAAGAGAATATTGAGGGAAATGTTAAAAGACCTGTGCCAAAGTTTCTGAGCTGCTGATTGAGTCAAAGAAGTGTTGGAAGCCTGTATGACTTCACTCATTAAGAAGGCTGAGATTGAAAACATTCATGTCCAGTTCTTATTTGTCAAATATGCTGGTATATTCGTTATTCAAATTTGTACATGTTAGTAACCTGAGATCTCATTGTGGGAATTCTATAATGAGAAACTGAGCTTGCTTTAAATTCTTTCCTTCCAGGTCCTCTGTTTTTCTTCTTTTCTATTCCTCTCCCCCACAGAAGTGTTCTGGAAGGAGTTTTGTTTCTTAGGGCAAGAGTGGAGTGTTCTGGGTAGGCCGGAGCAGCGTTCATGGAGTTTGGTTAGCAGCTCTGTCCTCATGCTGCTATTCTGTGTTAAAGATTCAAGTCCGTTGAGGTGCCAAGTCATTTGAAATACTGAATTTCTGGCTGAATCTGGGGTCATAAACATCACATTAAGGGCTAAATTGTTATACTCAGTGATGAGAGGCTGTGTTTTCTTTTAAATGGATTTTTCCTTTTTTTAAAGAGTAAGTTTTCTCTTAGACATGAGCCTAAACTTTGTAGAAATGCATTTTACTGCTAATGGTTCTAATGTAGCTAAATCTATAACTAAAGGGCTGAAAGCCATATTAATACTTCTAGATGTATTTCCATTTGCTGTTGTGAGGCAGACTGCAAGTGAGATCTGTCTCTCACAATGCAGAGTTCAAGACTTTTCGAAGCGGTGCCGATGCACAGCATCTCCTGGGCTGTGGTTTGTCTCATCCTGAAGTCAGTGTGTAAAATACAGCACGGGAACTGGTCTCAACATGCGGTTGTGTTTTACCTTATTGTTAGTACTATTTTTTATTGAACCCTGTGTCACTGGTGCAGGCAGAAGTATTTGAAATCAGATGAGCTCTCTGCCCTTTGCAGGCCATCGCTGACTGAGGTTTTTCGGATGGAGCTCTATCCATGTGGGTTGTATTTCAGTCTGAGAAGGAAGTACGTATTCTGGCTGCCTGACCACTCTCTGTCATCACTCCTCTTAGCATAAATGGGTCCATATTAAAATAATATTTCAAGGTTTTTATTGTGAGTGGATTTTTAGAGTTAATGGCCAGGAATCTATTGTAGAGTGTAGTTTTTAAGGAGGAAATTTTAGAAAGGTTGACTTGAAAGAGTAACGAGGGGAATGAAATCAGCTGCAAGAAGTCTTTACCTCACATTTCTTTGGAGCCCCTTTTATGCTTATTTGTTTTTTTACTGTTCTTTGCCTTGGTAACTTGGTAGCAGTTCAGTTTTCCTCTTTCCTCCCACTCCAAGTATCCTGTGACTTCAGAATCTTGTCCAGCTCTGAAACAGAGAAATAAGAGGTTGGTCAAGATGGATGTACCAGTTGTCTATTAATGTTGTAGTGGGTGCTACCTAAGGCTGTGCATGCCCTGAGTTACGAGGGGAGCTGTGCAAGTGCACAGTGTAGTGGTGTAGACTTGGGGGGAATTTGGACTGCAGCAGGTCTGGAGATGGAAGCTGCCAGAGTCCCACCGCTGGTCACTCATACCTACCCATAGTTGTACCTCTCCAGTGGGAGCCCCTTTCGCAGTGTTTTGTGAGACCTGATCATATGGGAGCACTGATGGACAAAATGCAGCTGTAGGTTAACACAGAGGGACTGAGAAGAGAGGCTGTGCTTGCTCCAGTGTGATGCGATGTGATGACAGCCATGGGCCTGTGCTGACCTGCTCTCTGAGCTCTGGCAGGGGAAAAGGTTTCATTTGGTGCTAAGTGACAAGTTACTCCTTTAATGGTAAGGCTTTCCCAAAGATGGACAGAGAGAGGTGTATTTTATTGAACCTTTCAGGTGCAGTCTGAAAAGTGGGAAAGTAAAACTCCTGGCTTTTTGAATGGCACATTATCTTTCAGGGAAGGATCCTGTAAATTCAGTCATGATCTTTCCTGGCATCATAGGAAAATGGCTTAATTTTCCTTCTAGTATGCGAGCATAATTCCTTTTACAAAAAAGTGCCTGTGAATTATTACTGCAATTTCAATAGCCCTAGCATTGCAGCCAGAAATGTATTTGAACTGTTTTTGCTGTTTCTATAGAGAAGTGTGTGATGCTGACTTATAGTACATGTTAGTGACAAGTTTTATAAAGTATTGGAAAGATGAACATTGTCAGGAAAAGTTAATGAGAGAAACATAATTCTCTGAGAAGCCATTGAATGAGGGTTTGCAATAGAGATGTTGGCTGGGTATCAGAAGGAACATTTTTAGCAGTGGAAACTTTGGATACAGTGACATATAACAGGTCTTAGCTGTGTCTCTCGTCTCCCAAACATAATAGCTGAAATTCTAGAATTTGACTCATTTAAGAATTAGAACAGTAATTGTAGGTGTAGTCTACTGTACCAAAAAAGAATAAGCTTGAGTAGCAGACTCATGGCAAATGACACTTTGTTGCTTGTATTTTCTTCTGATATGAAGTACCCTGATTTTCGTCTCAGATAAACTCATCTTACTGCATGGATGGGAAGGTGATTTTGCCTGTTACAGGAAGCCTTTGGAAGCTGCTGTAAAAATATGTTTTTAATCTCTGTCTTTAATAGCAAATCTCAGTGAGGGCAAGGGCGGGTAAGTATAGAAAGACTGAAGTTCAGTGGCACTCTGTATGTCTGCGCACATTTAGTGTTATTATCATTATACTTTTTTCAAAGGCAATGTATATAAAGCAGTGTTTCTTCCCTGCTAGCACTTTATAGAGGACATCCAAGAGATGTTCATCAAGTATGGATGATTATGTTGCCCTCTTTTTCAAGTTTCCATTTTGCGCCTATGCCTGTTGCTCCAACCTTTGTGCATCTTCAAGTGTTTCTTTGAAAATGTCTAGAAATAAGGATTTTTTACCCATTTGCCTCTGTCCAGTCTTCCAGAGTACTAAAACTGGTCTTGGATCAGAAAGATGCATGAGAACATCTCTCTAGGTCCTTGTCTCAATTATTTGCTTACTCAATGAATGTAGGAACAACCAGTTCTGGGATGGATAACTCTGTAATTTGCTTTGATTTGATATGGTCAGCTGTGCTGGATATAAAGCTGCATATTTATTTCTTTAGAGAACACTGAATTTTGCATAATATAAAGCTACTTCTTGAGTCACTGTTAAGGTAGTAGTATTCGTGGTACATGTTGCTTTTAAAATCGGAGATCTTGGATATTCTACTTTGATGGAAAACCTAGCTTTACAGTGAAGACAGTTTTATTGCAGTGTCAGGGAAAGCTGGCTCAAATGGTTGAGCAGAAAGTGGATGTTAAGTCAAAGGTGTTTGTAGAATGTCTGAAAAAGAAATGAGGAAAACAAAGGTAACTGTCCGTTTTTTGTGAAAGTCTCAAGGAAGTGATAGAAACAGCAGCAGGGAATTTACAGTTTTCTGTTAGGAGGAGAGGGAAATTGTAGAAACAATTATGTATAAGGGTAGAAAGTCTGGATGCTGGAAAATACCTAATTTATTCTGTGTATTTTTCCATCTACCTTTGTCCTGGAGCTGAAAATGATTTGAGGTATTGCCTCCCCTTCACTTATCAGCAAGCAGTAAGAAGTACCTTGGTGTATTTCTATGTGTTCATCCCTTATAGTCTTGCTCCTATACTGTGTTCTATTTATGTTATGATATGACATTGATTTGTTTCCCACATACTACAGGACAGGTTTAGAAACCTAGGCTTTCCTTCTGTTTTTTGCCTAGGCAGTGAAAGGAAAATGTTTGGCATGGCTCCAGTTGTGCTAGCTTAATTTGAAGGACTGTCTTGTGTCACCATGCTCTGAAAATTGCTTTCCATAAGTGATTTATCCATTTTTGGCATGGGTAGCTGGATGACTGTGGTACAGAAGCAATTAAGCATACTGAGTGAAATCCCAATTTAATTGCATATATTTGTAAAACACCCTTTTATATCAATGTGGCCAGGGATTCTTGTTGTCATCCTCAAAGGTCCAATGTCATAGAAAGCAAGGGGAGCTACCCAAAAGTTGCATCAAAGTCTATTTAAGTTTCTCTAAAATGAAAGACTTTTACTTCATTTGATAATCACAAAGGAATGTGATTTATAGAATTATTACTTCATAATTGTCACTTCATAAGCTAATCAACACATTAGCTTTAATATAATTGCATTACTGCCTTATTTATTAGCTTATATGTTCAAAGATATTGCAAAACAGTGCAAAGGGAAAGGCTGATTACAAATTACATAAATGGTTGTTTTTGCAGTAAATGTTTTTGGGTAAGTGAAAAGTCTGAAAGTTACTGAAACAATGGAAAATATCTTGTGAAGCATCTTCTGTTTTGGCTCCATCTATATTTAGGAAGCTGAATGCTAACAATTCTCCTTTTGTTCTTCTTACAGCTAATTCCAGCCTTCTCGGAGGTGGAGGAGGTGAGTCTTTGCTTAATGTTCTATTTATTCTGAAGGAAGTGTGAAATATATGCTGATGAAATGTACTGTTTACTTGGTTATAAAACAGTGTGTGATAAGTTCAAAAGATAGAAATGTAAAATTGTAAGGTGGCAGGGCTCACTGAAGTCGATAACCTTTCATATCATCAAGAGGCAGGGTTTGTGACTGCTGCTGAATCTGGTTTCTCCTCTGGATTAGACTAAGTCTGACCCAGTAAGGCTGACTAAGGCAGACTGAAACATAAAGGAACTGAGCTGTTTTATGTTAAGTATTTTGGATTTTTAATTTACTTCAAGGGAACCTTGAGTCCATGTTAAAAAACAGTTTCAAAAGAAAGGTTAAGTAATTAAAACACAGTAAAAAGTCATTTTAGTAAATTAATAAGGCATTATCTTTGTGCTTAAAAAACCCCCCACCTTGGTTGCTTACCCCATTCGGTTTGCTGGAATTCAGTACAAATCTTCAGTGCATGTAAGAGATGCTACCAGTGTGCCTCCTAATAAGGCAGATATACACAAGTGCATGTAGTGTGTATTGTTTCCAAATACATGGATGCTGTTTTATATTGGTTGATTGACGCTATTTTGCTGTTTGTAATACTGTAGAACCGTGGCCATCAAAGCTTTCACAAGTGTTAACAATTGAGGGAAAAAGAAGCCCGTGAAGAGCTCGATCTCAGTTTTGTGTGGCTTCCCCTGCCTCCCAGAGGGAAGTAAAAGAGCTCGGTTCTGGAAATTTCACAGTGCAGGAGCGGTACAGGCAGCGACTAATCTTCCTTCCTGGCTGGAGTTAAAAGGACTTGATGATCAGAGCTTACATATGTAAGGGGAAGGGAAAGGGCTCTGTGAAAAGACAGAAGATCACTGTTGCTTGTGAGGCTTAAGGATAAGTCGTCAAAGCTTTTGTTTTAACACCCTAACCGAGCAGGCAACCCTTGTTTGTGCCCCATGAAAAGGTGCTTGACAACTGTGCCCGGGTATCTAAAATGAAACCGTTCACGTTTCTCAGCTGTGTGTGGGGACATTGAAGTCCAGGGAAGCCTTACCTGGTAATCCCATTGGATTAATCTATTTCTTTTGATTCGAGTTAGTTGTTTGCAGGGTACCAAATTTTTTCTTCTCTTTTTATAAAAGATAATCCTTTAAAAGGTAATCCTTGACTCGGCGCTCCTGGTCCTGCGGAGCCGTGTGTGTACCTCCTCTGCGGCGCTTGCTCCCAGCTGGTAACGTCAAAGGAAAATCATAAATCAATGCAAATATTCAAATTCCAGCCGGGTTCCCAGAGCACTGCTGCTGCCGAAAGGATTTGGCTATTGACTTTCCGTGCTATTTATTCAGCTGGACTGCACTTCGAAAGTTGATGTCCGTTCAGCGTGGCACTAGATAACATGGCTCTCCCTCTGCGGCAGATGGGATGAGCTTGTGCAGCGGGTCAGGTTGGGGCTTTTTTCCCTGTATTTTATGTGGTGAATGTTGAGGAGTTTCAATCAAGTTAATCTATTCAATCAAGTTAATCTATTGTCAATTAGAAACATCTCTTCCACTCCCAGACTCCCTGGTCTCCCCCCCCCCCCCCAGCTCCGGGCAGGCAGAGGTGATGGCAGCGCATGAGGCTGGGGGAGGATGCTGCTGCACCTTCTCTTCTGCCTCTTCCCTCCCTCCTGGTGGCCTTTTGAGCTTTTACCACCCTGCCCAAGATGATCTCAAGGTCCTTTCCAACCCAAACCATTCCCTTACAGTAAGTATAAGTAGCATGGGTAAGCTCCTGTGGCAGGTCAGGTTTTGGCGCTGTGGGTCCCTTGAGGAACTGGCTGCAACAGGCTGCAGGCGGTCAGGGCAGCCCCATGGCCTCCCACAGAGGAGGTCTCCCTGCATCCCTCCTGGTCAGAACCTCAACCCCAGGTACTTTAATCTCCAGTGGAAGGATAACAACATCCCCCCCTGGCTTGTGACACAGGTAAAATACCAAATTCCACTATTTTATGGCTTAGAGTTTGACTGTTGATGGTTGAGGGGCTGTTTGTGCTCTGGAGCTGCCCTTGGGCAGGGTTTCTGGTGCGTCCTTAGTTTTTCTGACTGTTTTGAGGAAAAATCCTGGGAAATTTATTGCCAAAGTAGTCCCAGGTTTGTGCAGCCATCATGGGGTGTCTGTGGCTCCATCCTTGGGTGCATCCATTGGTCTTTAGGAGAAGGGAAGGGTTCAGGAAGCCTGCAGGCTGGAGCTTGCTCAGGGGAGCACAAGATGGAGGCACCCCTGCCTGCCTCAGGCAGATGAAGCCGGGAGCCCCTGCCTCTGGGAAAAGGGACTTGATACTGAACATGTGCATCTCTCTCTAGAAGGGATCGTTTCATTTCCCATTGAATGGGTTTGGATTTTAAGTTCTGGATGTATTTCTTCCAGCTGGAAGTGGCTGCAGCACTCCACGTGAAATATTGCTAGTGAATTATTAAAACTTTATTGTATACGTAAACACCAGAGCCTTCTTTTGATTGAAGATACTGAATATTTATGATACTGCATAATACCAGGGTAGTTTCTCCAGTAATGGGATTCAGATCTCTTCAGTAACGCTTGTTAATTTAATCCCTTTGTCACTGCTGGGGGTATGGATGCGCATCTTAGTTTTACAGAAAATGAAAACCACAGTTTTCCACTTGTCCAAGCTTGTGCAACAGGTTTTGTGATTTTAAGCTGCTTTCGGGCTGTTCTGTGTTTGAAATCTTTCCAGAATTGAGCTCAAATTAGTTGGAAATAGTTATTTGAACACCCTGCTCTAACATTTGTGCATTACTCAATATGTATGTAAAAGCCATCTTCTGGAGGAGAACTGCTGAGGGACCCAAGGGGCAATGTTGTCAGTGAATGGAGTGCATTGGTTTTACGTTCAGGTGCTGATGGGTTTTGGTGGCTGCTTATCATCCCTGTGTCACCTCAGAGCCACATCAGGGCATCCGTGTACTTTGATTTCCCAGAGCCAGAGCACTGATTTGTTCTTGCATTCCCCATTTAAATGCTGTCTATTCATTTTCATGACCATTTGGAATGAAGAGATAAAAGCACAAAAGATACCAGAAACAATTTTTCACTGAACTGTTTAATCATAAAATCGAGAAACCCACAATAGAGTCTTAGGAGAATCTTTAGTTAAATATAGATGTCGAAGGTTTCTTTCTGCTTTTCAAATAACTCTGAAGTTTCCAGGATTTCATTATGACTCTGGTGAGTGATCCTTTTTTTCTTTCTCATTCTTTACTGTTTTTAATAATTGATTTTTAATTAGGAGGTGTATTTCACTTTCAGGTCTGGATTTATCACACATTCAGCATCTCACTGCTGCTGTTCACTTGCTCAGAGCAGTATGACTTATTTGCGCACCATGTATTATTTGCCCCATTATGTTCAACAGTGCAAAGGTGAAAATTATTAACAAAATTACCTGCATTTGGAGGGAGTGAAGGAAAGACCACTTGGTATTTTGAGAAGAAGTGACCCCTTTTAAAAATGTATCATGAAGTTTTGGCTGCTGAGAAATTGAAATGCCCTATTTTTGTATGGCAGTTTTTGCTTTCATTCTTTTACAGCTCTGTTAAGGAATGAACATATGTGATTTCTTCTCCCTCTTATGGTTTTGGATAGTCTGCAGGGGTTTGGGGGTTTTATGCCCCACTGTCCCCACTTAATTATCAGTTAATTTCCTTGGGGTTCATTTTTCTTTTACTTCATTTTTGTGACTGTAATCAAGTTCTTGTTACGTGCTGATTTCTGGATTTGCTCGCTTTCTTTGACCTTAAATTGAGTGTATATTTAAATAGGAAACTATGGATTTTTGGTGTTTTTTGCCTCATACAGTTCTGTTGCCCTATGCTAGAGTTCAGGAAGGAGATGTCATCATTTAGCGTGTCCTGTTGTGAGCATAATTTTTGTCAGCTCTCTACTTAAAAATGGTGATTCTGTCTTTAAAAACTCTGAGTTATATTCACAGCCTTTTGGAAGCGTTGTTTGGACCCAGTTTAAGTTTATTGCCGCAAGAGATCTGTCTGCTTTTCTGTTTCTCTCCATCTTTCTGTCTCTTTCTTTTTTTGGCCGCTGTAACTATGTCTTTTCTAGGGCTTTAGCTGGCATGGGAAATATTAATTCCTATATAGCCATAAGTATGTTAGCATATCTTAAAAGCACACCAGACTTACCTCTCCGGTCTGCCAAGATACAGTTTGTAGCCATGTCATTTTAAACAGCTCTTACGGCATGGGGAGCTTGTGTTCGTGATCGCAGCAGGGAACTGGGTTTCTCCGTGCATTATTGGGTGGACTCCATTTTGAAAGTGGGATTTGCTTGCCTTCTTTGTTTGCCTTTATATCTGCGTTAGATTATGATAATGGCAAATAAAAAGTGTTTTCTCCTGCTATAATTACCACAGACAGACTTCTGTCCTGGAGAACTGGTTTATCAGGAGGGGAATGAGCTATTCAGTGGCTGGAGCCTTTTGCTGTTCTAAGCACAAAATTGCATGGTGCAGGAGGCGGTCAGTATGCCACTTTAGAAGCATCCAGTGCCACATCAGCCCAGTGGGATCTCAAAGGTAAAGGCTTGGGTCCGGCAGATAGGGCAAACAGTTGCGTGGGGCTCTGCACCCTTCCAGAATGACAGCTGAAGGTCACAGATGTCACATTTGGTACCACTGTTCGAGCATCTGGATTCGAGCACCAGCCACTTGAGTCCAGATAGATGATGGAATTGTTCGTCTTCAAGCAGGGTTATAGCAGGTGTGTAGCACAACCATCATGGCTGCTGCTAATGCTGCAGAAACAGCGGATCGCTGCTGGCAGGGTGCTGCTGCAAAGTCATGGGTGTTTGCCAGCCACCCTGTCAATTTGTCAATTAATTGCAGGCTAATGAGTTCCTATAGCCAGCAATTATCCAGGCAGTAGTGGCAGGAAGGAAGAGCTGACACAAATACCTTTACTTGACATCCCTCTCACTGGCCAGGGATAAAGATTTTATTCTCACAGTTGGGACCCAAGATACACAACAATTTCCAGCCACCTTCTGATACTTACACCTCTGCTAAAATAAAAAAGAAGGTTTTGCGCTGTCTGAATAGTAACTTCACATCAACTAAAATAGCAAATGAATATTCATGATGCTGAGAAGTGAAAGTTTTACAAGAGAGAATTGGAGGCAGGAATGAGACAACTTGCAAAACACCCCCTAGCAGTGTGAGAATACTTTAAATACTAGACTGGCCCTATGCTAGCCCATTCAAAATGTATAACAGGAAGAAGAGAAGCCTCTTTTATCCTGAACCAGGATGAGATGCTCTCTGTTTTGGATTTCACAAGGCTTGGGCTTGATATTTACATAATTTAAATGCAAGTGAAGCAAGGGTTTAAATCCAAAGTTCAAATTTGCGCATGACGTGCGCATAACATGAATGCATCCCTTGAGAGGAGAAAAAAGAGTTTGGAAAAGGAGCACTGACAGGATTCTTTCATCAAGAAAATAAGCATTATTATTTTGTAGGGTTTTTGTGTCAGTCTGTTGGCATGTTCTTGTATCATGTCAAATGCATTTGTCAGATTGGGGTGTGCTTGCAACAAATGTCTTCATGGAACAAATGTGCTTCATCTGGGATTTCAACTATCTTCAGAAGCATTCGGTTGCTTTGTACACTGCATCGTCATACCTTAGGTATTTCGATAATAGCTGTGGAGATACAAAGATTTTCCTAGCGAATAATGATCACGAAGACAAACTGATAATTTAAGGCAAATGGCCATTTGCCTTTGTTGCTAATTAATCCCTTTCTGATAGAAGATTGCTACTGCAATTTGGAGGGGTTGTTCAAGTGTTTTATCTCTTTTGGCTATTTGCATGCTGTTCTTTTTCATCCCTGTAAACAGAGTGGGTTTGAGAGGGGTGTATCCACAAGTTCACCCACTGTGACAGTGCATCAGCCAATTAAGATTTCAGTATTTATGCATTTATGTATTTCTTCCTGTATAGCAGTAATACCAGTTCCATTGGTAGCCCAGTAGCTCAGGGTAGACAGTAACCTTTTCAAGGTGTTTAGATCAGCCTAAAATCTTATTATTATTTATGAGGATTTTGTTGGATCAGATCAAAGCAAATAGATTTCTCTGTAATTTAACTGCATTTATAGAATTCATTCAAACATCCTCTGTAAGCAAAGTATTTCTTTACAGGTCAGTTATTCTTGAAATGTTTTTTTTCTTTGTTTTTCAATCTGTGTGTGTCTGTTTGCTTTCTGCCTTCTGTTACTGCAGTGGATATTTCCGTGTGAGTTTTGGTTTAGCTGTAATTAAAATGAGTGGATTTTCTCATTTTGCAGGGCATCTAGAGGTATAATGATGATAGCTCTATAAATAAATTACAGTTTATTTCCAAGGACCTTTAACTCAAACTACCATGCATGTATTTAAAGGGTGTGCTCTACTCTAGTTTCTTTTTTGTTGTTGAGGTTGGTTTTATTTAAATATGATACATATTTTGCCCTTGGGCTATATAGGGTGCTAACTTCCTCTCAGC